GCTACGTATGTTATGGCATCTATAACAAAACATACGTCCTCCACTGGGAAGACAGAGGAGTCCATGCTCTCACACCCCAGGGGAATGTCTTCGATTGAGCTCCACTCAGACTAGAAGAAATCTCAGTTACAAGAAGATTCTCTACTTCTTGCTCAACACTTCTTCTCCATATACTAAAATATCTGGGGCTGATAGATCACATGAAGGCCCAACACAAGTCAATTTCTCTGGTACAAAGACGTCTTTGCTCAAAGACAACCAAACATAATATGGAAGAAGAGGCATTAAGTCCTACAGAATAGGGCTTAACTGGGGGGTGGGGGGTGGGGAAGGCAGTGAGGAGACTGGGTTAGCAAGTAAAAGATGTTTGGGTTGAGGTTGGATCCACACAGCTCACATTATGTTGTTGCTAGATGTCATCCAGCCGATTCTGACTCACAAGTGTGACTGCCCCTAAGGGTTTCCTTCAGCTGTAACCTTTATGGGACCAGACTGCTAGGACCCTCTCTCATATAGAAGACACTGGGTGGGTTCAAAGCGCCAACCTTTCAGTTAGCGCCCAGCTGTTTAAAGGCTGCACCACTGTGTCCCTTGTCAGTCCAAAGCATAGACTAGTAAAAATTTCCATGACATTTCTTTTTGTTCAAAATCACTCTTAATTACATAGATGCCACTGATGTACTTTTCCTCTGTCTGGTGATAACCTACCTTCTCCTACCTTCAAATGCCCCAAGTCCCATGTATGATTCAAAGCTACATTTGAATGTCACTTCATTCATAAAGCCTTCTTTGATCACTCCATCCAGAAATCATCTCTTCCTTCTCCACTTTCACAGAATTTCTCTCCTATGGCCCTCTCCCCTCTACTGCTCAGGCTGAGATATTCCAGGAGATATGCCATGGCTTCCTTGCTGGACCACAAGCTCCCAAAGCCCCAAAATCCATTGTGAGCTGTCCTATGAACATAATACGTTCCAGGGCACTTACTACTGTAGCTTACGCACACAGTATATGTGCTGGCTGACTTCCTAGAAGCTGCTAGAATGTTCCCGATCATGAAATGAGATGCTGCTAAAGGACGGTCACATGGGATGCCTTAGCTCCCTCAGAGAAGCTCCAGAGTGAGAGGAGATCTGTGGAAACCTCTTCAACCGTTAGCAAACAGAGGGAGGGTTCTAAGAAGGGGTTAAGTCTTTGGCTTCCGGGTACTTGGCAAGTGCAAAGGTCTGCTTCCGGGTTAGAGAGCAGTGCTTGGCCTACAGCACCCGGGTGTGTACTTCCTGAACAGAGGGTGTCACTCATCCTGTGGTGAATACAAAGGAAAAGGGGGCAGAGCATCTCACTCTGGAGAAGTGTGAAGGCCCCCACACACAAAAGGGTCCAGACTCCAATTTTCCTTTCTTTTTTAAATGGGGAAAAGCAATTTTCCTCCTCACTTTGAAACAACAAACCCAATGCACTCTGCAATACAGGCTGCCTTTCAGCCAAATGGCTAAACCGTGCAAGCAGAGTGCTAGAGCTGTCGCCACCAACACACCAAGAGCATGTTTTAAAAGACAATTACGTGAGCGATGTTAATCCACTTCTCGATGATTTTGGCGCGCTGCTGCGTTTTGAGCTCCTTGCCCCCCAGGATGGTGCTGACCACACACTTGGTGAGGGTGTTAAACTGAGAGATGGTAGCCCGGATCGTGGGAGCCAAGTGCTTGTTCTCCTTCTTATCCCTCCGAGACCAGATGCAGCCCAGGCAGTGGTGGGGCACCACCTTCCTGAACAGTTGCTGAAACAAAAAGGAACGGGTTTTAAGGAGCACACAGGCATTTCACGGCAAAGCAGGCACCCGGACACCGGCGCGCTGGGATTTGGTGAACAGACAGATCATCCTTGTAAGTCATTAATATACAAACTGATCCTGAAAGCCCACGTGCTCTTTTTGAACTTTGCTCAGCAGACCAAACGGAGCACCAGGACGAAAAGCAAAGCAAAGGGCTTAAGAAAACAGCGAAGCCCGGGTTGCGGGGTCAAGGTCTTGTCCGCGGTGTGTCATGGCACAGCGTGAATCAACCGTCATGCTGGCAGGTGCTCCGCGGACCCTTAGAAGGGACCCACAGAAGGGCAGAACACACACCGGGTGCTGGTGACACAATGCCCCCCCTTCTAAGGGACAGAGACAGGGGGCAGGCAGGTAGGAAAACCATCCCATGTCTGTCACTCAGGAAGAGGAAGAAAGGGCGGGTGAGCATCTGGTTTTTAAGGAAAGCCTCCATTTTCCTCTTGCGGGAGGGTGTGGGGAGGGGATTCAAAGAACTGTTGAGCAGATCAGATTGTAGCTGTGGCACCAATCCAGTGTGAGCTGTGTGAGGCTTCACATGACAGAGACCATGTGATGTCCTCCTAAGGGCTCACGTACACGTTCTGCTAGGGAAGCTCTGCCACTTTCTCAAGAGCGACACGTGACAAAGCACTAAACAGCTGTGATAATCCGCAACTGCGGCCTTTTCTTCCGCTGGTATTTAGCAACGCGGGCGGTGCTGGGAAACGTGGCTGACGTCATCAAACATGGACTGCTAACGATGACCGTCACACGCCACACGTGTAGGAAGCACACGTGGACACGAGCTGCCAGCCCCAGCCCCACGCGGATTCGGAGAATTGACTGCACCATGACTTCGACTCGGACCCCTTTACAATCCTCCAAATAAACAGCTGAGATCTTGAAATCTTCATGGGTCCAGAGGGAGAGAACCACCCCTGGAATGGGGCAGATTGGGTTTCACTAGGATTCGAAGTCTTGCTTCCCACCAATGTCCTGAGCTCCAAGTAAAAAGTGCCTTCAGGCAGCGTTGCTGTGAGAAGGGCTTTGGCTTGAATCATGCAGATGATGGCTTACAGTCCATTGAAAGGCTGCACTTGCAGGCAAAGCCTCTCTCCGGGGCTCCAAAAGACTTGGGTCGCAGGACCAGCCCCCCTCCCTGGGGACCACCAGCACACCCTCCCCGCGGTGGAAGCACAGAAGGGACACCCAGGCAGCCAGCACGTACTGCATCCATGTAGGTCAGCTGCTCCGCCACTAGGTCCTCTGAGAAGAACGTGAATTCCGCTGACCCAACCCCCTCCAGTTCCTCTTCCTCCTCCAGGCTGAAGGGCAGGGTACTGGGAAGCCCATCTGTTCAAGTATGGGAAATAAAAAATACATTTAGTATCTTGGTACCACTGTAGACGACCTCACTGACAGAGTCAAACTGAACTTCTTTCATTTAGGAAGGGCAGAGCAACGCCATCAGAAAACCCAATGGGAGAGAACGAAAAGCACAAACACTTGCAGTGGGATGGGGGTCGTGTTCCCAATCACTGCTTGCTCAGTGTCATTTTATTCGCGAGCCCTAGGACAAAGCCAGGTGAACCAAGACCCACAGAGACAAAGCAGGGGTTACATGTAGGGTGTTACCTGGAAACCCACTGCTCCTTGCTCTTGGAATTGGCTTCCAGGTAATTCTTAACTCCAGCCCATACTTCTTAAGAATGGGCCACCAAACAGCAAAGTCTGAAAGGTCTGGCTGGGCAGGAGAGCAGGGTAGGCGGTGGAGGATAGGATGGGCGCTTTTGATGTCAGAATTGCTAATGAAATCAAGAGTTCTCAAAATGTTTGGAGTGGCTTCCAGCTTACATCTGAAGTTAAGTCAGTGTGAGGTGTTGTCAAGTACTCGGAAGCTAACAGAAAGGTTGGTGGCTCGAACCCACCAGCCACTCTGGGGAAGAAAGCTTTCAGCCTTGGGTGAAAGCCTCCTACGGAGCAGTTTCACTCTGTCCTATATGGTCCTAGCGGTTGGAATTGACTCAGTTTGGGTTTGTTTTTAGTCTTAAATTCAATTTAGCCTTATTATAGATAAGGTCACCAATTAGCAAATTACACAGCCTGAATCAGTGAAAGGAGATCACTCCCAGGAGTTTAAATAAAGAGCAGACATACTGTAGAACTGGGAGATTGACAGCCCCCCCCCCCCCCATCCTCCTCCTCAGGTAGCTTTCCTGGGTCACTTCCCAAATGCACATCCCAGCTCTGTTTCCTGCCAACCCTCTTCTCAGGGGAGTGAGAAAAAATCTAGTTTCTTCGGTTTAATCTTACAATAAATTTAAAACATCTTGCTACTACACCCCCAGAATGTTTATATTTTTAAGCCTTTTCTCTTTCTTTGCATAATAACATACTCTCACGCAGGGAATCCAGGACAGATAAACCGCTCAGGACCAATAATGAGAGTAGAGATACCAGGAGGGGAAGGGGAAGGTGGGGGAGAAAGGGGCCACTGATCACAATGATCTACATATAGGCGGATGAACAACAGAAAAGTGGGTGAAGGGAGACACTGGACAGTGTAAGACATGGAAAAATAATAATTTATAAATTATCAAGGGTTTGTGTCGGAGGGAGGGAGGGACAGGGAGGGGGAAAATGGGGAGCTGACACCAAGGGCTCAAGTAGAAAGAAAATGTTTTGAGAATGATGATGGCAACAAATGCACAAATGTGCTTCACACAATGGATGTATGTATGGATTCTGATAAGAGTTGTACGAGCTCCCAATAAAATGATTTTTTAAAAATATATTTAAAAAAACATACTTTCAGGCATGTTGGAGCAAGATGAGGAGGCCTTTTCTGAACTTTGGAAGGGAAGAGGGTACAGAGAGTAGACCCTCTGTTGAGGCACCACACGGTGAGACAGGCCTAAAGACAAAGCCCTTCCCCGTCGGGTTAAGGATTCTGAAAGGAGTAGGGTTGGACTGTGATTGGAGAAGGTAGGAGGGGACCCAGCTAACGGCACACGTGAGAGAGGATCGTAAGCCAACTGCACAACTCGGGTCTTCTCTCATTCCGTGAAGGAATCAAAATTGTTAAATCCCAAACAAAAGTTCGAATGGGCCTCTCACTCCTCTTGCTAGCTCCTGGACCACCCACCAACAGATGACTGCATGGATTCCATTCCACCAAGTAGAAGAGAACTCCCCTTTGGGTTTCTGGGACTATAAATCTTTAAGGGAGTAAACAACCTCTTCTTTCTCCCACAGAGCCAATGATGGGTTCAAACCATTGACCTTGTGATTAACAGCTCCGTGCACAAGCCATTAGGCCACTAAGCTCCTTAACTACTCAATCAGTACTTGTATATTCCAGTCTGCCTGCAGCGCAGAGGCAGATCCACACTGTTGCGGATCCAGGAAGGCATGCGCCACGCCTTGACGGCTCACGCATTGCTGCAATGTCCACATCTAGTGGCTCTGCTCTGTGCCAGGACGTGGCTGGGGCTGAGGATTACAGGGTCCTTCCCCCTATGGTCTGGCGCCTGCCTTCACTGTGTCTGCTTTGGTGCACTCCCTGAGTTAAGTCAAATGACACTTTTGAAAAAGCATGTCGGAGAGCTAGCTAGGATCGGCACCTGGGTACCACACTCCAAAAACTCAATAATGATGCATGAATTTAATACACAGAAGGTACAGAGACGATTGATTTGAAATTCTAAACTTAAAGGGGGGAAAAAAAGTCATTCTTGGGTATAGCCTAAAACGCTTCCCAAAGCCAGGCAGCTCCCCTCGCCCCTGCCCCAGCCTGCCAAAGGAGCACTCCCTTCCAGTCCAGGGGCTGGGAACAATGAAGGACTGGTCCCACTGGCTCCCCAATTAGGCCTGGAGCCAGGGCAGCCCGTGGGGGAGCTGGGCTCCAACACCAACAGTCCAGCACAAAGGCAGGGGGGAGGCAGCTGGAGGAATGCCCCATATTCAAACATTCCCGGCACATGAAGTCATCTGAGATACGCAGTAGTTGGCAGCCAGCTCCTAAAGATGCAACAGCCTCATTAGTCCCAAAGGCACTAAAAAAACCAACAGGTACTATTTGGAATTGCTGATTTTTTTTTTTTTTTTGCGCCATGCAGCTTTCCTTATCAGTGTTGGGGAACCATTTCCTCTCCTTCAGTAGGAAATGAGGCCTCATTTCAGGGAAATGCCTGCCAGGAGGGGGACTCCAAGTGGGTCAGCCACCATGGCAACCTCACCCAGCACAGCAGGGAGGCAGAAGTCTCATGCTGGGAGCCTGTCCTACGGCTCAGCTCCAGCTCTGGCTTTCTTTAAGCCCTGGTGATTCTGAGCACCCTGTGACCTGCAGTGGTGGCCCTTCCTTTGTCCTTGAAAACAGGACAGAGGATTCCTCAAATAGGAAAAACACAGCCTCGGGAACTTCCTTTAATGAAGCCTGTACGAGGCTCAATGACTGTCATCTGCCCTGGCAGGGGACAGAGGGCAGAGATGCTTCCTATGCAGAATGAAACTACCTTTCGCAAGCTTGTGTGAGGGCAGGGGCAGAACTCAGTGTTGGTCCTGACCTGCTGACTAGGGACCCGCCATTTGTGCTGGGTTTTCATTTGAGAGGAAGTAGCAGCCATTGGGTTATTCAAAAAAGAAGAAAAAGCAACTCCTGCTAACAATGGCACCTCTGGGCAAGGGGAGGTAAAACATCAGGGGGACAGGAGCCCTGGAAGAGTCCTCCATGTCTGTGGACCACCATTTGCTCATCTGTAACTGGACGGAACTAAGTGGTCTTGAAAACCCCATTCTTTGCTCTGAGACACTCAGATGGAGACGCCGTAAGAACTGGACACCCACACCCGTCCTCCAACAACTTGGCCTTCTCCAGGAAAGCAAGGTCTCTTATCTGACTGGCAGAACAAGTCCAGGAGCTCAGCGATGAGAGCCGAGCTCTTGCCCTGGGAAGATTCCAGTACTTACTGTCCGTTTCCACCTCTTGCTTCTGAAACTGCTCCAGGAGATTGTGTGCTCTTCTCTCGGGGTCAGAGCCCGGCATCATCCGTTTGAGATATTCCAACAGTTTCTGCAAGCAGGGGAACTGAGGGGGCTCTCGGAAGTCTTCGGCGCATTGGTCAAGCCAAGCCCGCAGGATTGAGGCAATTGCACTAAAAGAAATAGAGAATCTTGTCACCCCAAGGGCTGAGGACTCTCCAGCAAGTGCTACCCCGGCAGCTTCCAGGACATGGGTCCCAGAGCCCCTGACAGTGTCGGTGAAGCGCAAGCACTGGAAACCAGCTGACGAGCGCTCTTCTTCTGAAGGATAGGGGTTGAGGAATGGAGAGGCTGGTGGTGCGGTCTGTTTGTTTGTTCTTTTTTTAAAAAAGGATGCAAATTTTGGAAGAATCCATATAGGCCAGAAAAATACAGAGAGCAAAAGAAGATGTATAAGTCTTGAAGCAACTTCAAAGAAATCTGAGTTATGGGGTTTCCAATTCTGAAAGTGTTCAAACCAGAGACCACAAAATCCACCATACTAATATTTTAGGAAATAACCGACTGCAATTAGGCCCTAAATCCATCTGATGAAAGGAAGTATCTGATGCCAGGGGCTTGGAGGAGAGCAAATGCTTTGAGAATGATGAGGGCAATGCATGTACAAATGTGCTTTACACAATTGATGTATGTGTGGATTGTGATAAGAGTTGTATGAGCCCCTAAAAAACGATTTTTAAAAAATTTTAAAAAGAAAGGAAGTATCTGAGTTTGCAAAAGATAACTGCATAAATTTGATTTTACCAAGCTCACTACAGTTTCTCTCTCTCTCTCTCATATACATATATGAGAGCAAAATTATCCTTTTGCTCCTCAAAATACAAAAGGAGAATATGCTTCATGTTTGAGAAAGAGCATGGGCAGAGAAGTTAGGACTTGGGAAGACAGTTATGGGGGAGAAAAGCTTCCTGAGCAAATCCCCCTGAAGGCGATTTCCCCCAGACTGCCTCTGAGGGTCACACGCAGGGTCCCCCTTGTATGAAACAAGGTCACGCGGCAAAGAAAGAGTCCAGGTCCTTGTGGGTAGGCAGCCCTCCCAGACACACTGCTAGTAACACAAGGTTGTCGTCTTTAGGTTAGGAGCCGCTTCCTAACCCTCTGTCTTGGGGCAGAGACAAAGAGCGGAGTGATAGGAGGATAAAATGCTTGGAGTGCTATTATCCCAAGCTTCATATTCGAAGAGGGCTTGCACACAGTGCTGGGTCAGGCGCATGACTGGGGGCCCTGGTGATGAATGCAGCACTTGGTTGTCTCCACAAACAAACATGAAACCTTCACTGCCAGCGAGTCAATTCTGACTCATAGCAAGCCTACAGGGCAGACTAGAACTGCCCCCATGGGTTTGGGAGACTGTATCTCCTTACAGGAGTAGAAAGCCTCATCTTTCTCCTGAGAAGAGGCTGGTGGTATCAAACTGCTGACCTTCTAACAGTGCAGTGGATAACCCACTGTTCCACCAGGGCACCAGTTGTCTCCAGAAGCAAGAGGTATTCATTGATGACGATGGCTGGAGATGACAGGAATTATAAACTAATCAATGTATGTTTCAACAGCATTGGAAATCCTTCTCATAACTAAAACCTAACCAGCTGACCCAAACTTTTCTATGGAGAATTTAATTTTTATTTTCTTTTAGCAAATATAAAAACTCCAGAGCAGCGGTTCTCAACCTAAGGGTCATGACCCCTTTGGAGGTCCAAGGAGCCTTCCACAGGGGTTTCCCGATTCATAACAGTAGCAAAATGACAGTGATGAAGTAGCAACGAAAATCATGTTATGGTTGGGGTTCACCACCACCTGAGGAACTGTCTGAAAGGGTCACAGCGATAGGAAGGTTGAGAACCACTAGTACTGATGGTGAGTGATTACCCAACTCATTTGAAAAGTGAGTTAACCAATGGGGGGGGGGGGGAGAAAGTGTTCTAAAGTTGATTGTGGCAATGACTGGACCACTCTTCTTGACAGGACTGAACTATTGACTTGTGCGATATGTGCTGATAAAACTGTTAAAGACAAAACTCTAAAGTAAACTAGAAGTCCCTGTTACCCATCGATCTGCAGGCTGTTTTCACGGGGCACACCTCCTGACTTCACACCCAGGAACTCAGAGAGAGGCATAAATATGCCAACGTTCATTTAACACTTGACCTTGGGAAGCGAAGTACAAACAGAGGTCGACTTGCGAGCAGTTTTCTGCAGCTGTGGACACCACGGCATTTAGATCGGCGATACACACATGCATGCCTACACATCCAAATTGAACGGTATCAAGTCATGAGAGTTGAAATGAAAAACCGTAGAAATAATTCACACACTCTCCATCTTTAGATTAAACAAAACAAACACTCCATTCCCTTCCAGAACACGAGGGGAAAAAATGGTCTGCACTTCTCAAATGAATTAAAAACATGAAAACAATGAAATCAGTGACCGTATATTTTTTTAGGACACACACACACACAGCACTCATTATTTCCCCTTTCTTCACTGAGACCAAATATCGTGAATTGAAAAAGAAAATGATGGTGAAACATTCTAATGCGTGGTTTGTAGAAAGAGTGACATTCTCTGTGCTTAGACGTGGGTCCTAGAACTGCTGTGAACCGTTGGACAGAGAGAGGCACGCTGGAAAACCTGATATTTATGCACATCGGGCTGACTCTCACAAAAGAACAGTTTGCACTTCTCAATTCAGACCACACGGTAATTTTAAAAAAATGAACATTCTAACAGATAAACAACCCAGTGACTCCTCAGTGTTTCATGGTGTAAAAGAACAGAAATTCAAAATTGCAGGTATATGACAGTGATATTTACATATCACTTACTTCTTTGCCTCCCATAATTGGCAGTTTTAAAATTAGTATACAACTCTACTACTTAGTGGGGGGGAGGGGGAGAGGTAAATACTATAAATACCCAAAAACTAACAAAGCAAAATGCCTGCTTCTATTACATTCTAAGTCCGTCCTCATGACCTTTTGTTAACAGTTTGGTTTATCTCCTTTTAGACTTTTCTGTGGATGTAAATTATATAGATATAAACACTGCAGCTGTGCCGATTCCAACTCATAGCAACCACACAGAACGCGAGAGCTGCTCCCTAGGGGCTCTGAGGCAGTCAATCTTGATGGAAGCAGACTGCCTCGTTTTTCTGCCCTGGGGTAGCTGGTGGGTTCAAACCCCAGCCCTGTACTTGACCCACTGCAGCACACACACACACACACACACACACACACACACACACACACAGTACAAAGGAACTTCATCAGTTTTGTGGGAAGAGAGAAGATAAGATTACAGAATTTTTCCATGAAATGTTTAAGCCCTTTCACAAATACGTATCTTAACTACATCATCATGATTTTTTCACTTACAGTTAACTAGATCTGCTTTATTTATTTCTTTAACCTATATTGTAATGTGAGTGACAGTCTACTGAGAAAATTAGTTTTCCATGAACTTGTTCATACATAATTTGATTCGTGAAATTAATTGCAATCCCCCTCAAATGTTTTAAGTCATTAAAAACAGCAAGCTCCCACAATGTAGAAGGTACTCATGCCACCTCCTCCCTGTGCGTCCCACTTCCGCTCCCCCTTCTTTCCTCTCCTCCCGCATCCTCAGTTCATCCCTGGGCTGTCCCTCACAGCACATAATCGGTATCAGAATGCATCTGCCGAAGGACAGGCGTTCACGTTCTTCTCAGACTCTCACGAGGACAGGGGCAGGGGTGTACTCTGGTTCACTTCTGAGTACCCGTGTGAGGGTTTCTGCAGGCGAACTGCAGCACTTCCTCCCACGAAAAGTAGCAGCCTTGGGAGTTTGAAAGAGAACCCTGAGTCCCTCGGAGACTTGACCTTGGACACACATTTTGTTCTCCTCCAGCTGAGACTTATGGGCCGCTCATTTAAGCTCATTTAACTGTCGGGACCGTGCATTTCCCACAGCTTAGCCCAAGGACTTTGAGCTCACCAGACACGGAACTAGCTGGGAAAGCGGGGTAGCATTTTCCCATACAAGAGAAATGAACGGAGAGGAGAAAGCAGGAGAGAAGACAACGGCGAGAGAAACCCGCCTGCAGACACGGCTCGGTCTAGTGCACGCTGCAGACCCCGGCCTCCTATCAGCAGTGCGCACGGGCATGCCAGCGCCTTTCTGGATGGCCTGGACACGCGCCCAGAGCACACAGTAGCTTTATGTTCCCCAGTCCTGGGAAGAAACTAAGCAGGAGATACAACTGTGAAACTTTCAAGGTTTCAAAAAGGGAAACAATGCACAAGGGAGACCCACGACAGAGAGAACCTTGGCGGTGACTGGTCCAGGGCCGTCCAGTCTTAACCTTCCCGCTCTGTCCCTGGCATCTACCCACATCCCGGCCAGGACAGAGTGCCCGGACAGGAAGGAAGGATCACAGGCCCACCAGCAGGGCAAGAGAAATCCAGTCTCTCCTCATCCTCTTCAGCATTTGTTTTTTTGAACTTGGCTACCAGTGCTGGGGTGGGTGGGACCTCACTGTTGTTTCGATTTGCATCTCTTTGATGGGTAGTAGTCACGTTTTTTCCATCCTACGTTGGTTTGTTTGCTTTTTGATCTTTAATCATTTTATTGGGAACTCTTACAGATATCACAACATTCCACAGTTCCTTCACATCAAGCAGAATTGTACAACTGCTCTGACAATCAGTTTCAAAAGATTTTCTTTCTTCTTGAACTCCTAGATACCAGCTCCCCTGTATGCCCTCCCTTGCCCACCCTACCCCAGGAACCCTTATTATTTTTTTCCCTTCAATAGTTTTTTGTTTTTGTTTTGCCATATCTCACACAATCCAGTATATCCATCCACATACAGTTCTGCTGTCTGGTCCCATCGAGTGGGGTTAGACAGTCATCAATCTTCTTCCTATGTTTGTTGGCCACCTGGATATCTCTGACGGACTGTTCAAGTTCCCTGGCCATGAGAAGAAGAAGACGAAGAACGGGGAATCTGGTTTGCAGTCACATGGACGGGGAGAAGCTACGTGCTGTGCACCGGACGGAGGAAGAAGCCCCGCTGTACCACCTGAAACGAGGGACGCCAAGGCCCTCCACCGACCCCTACCTGCCTTCATCC